CTCCACGTAGAAACCGTGGAACCCCCCCCCCCCCGGGCCAAGATTGACACGCAATATGGGGGGTTTAGGCGGCACGCTTGCAGCAGTCTATCGTATAGGATTTAGTGTGTCAATTGTAAAACCGATATACTCTTCATTGAATAGACTTCCGTGATTCTATTCAGAAAACTCTCTTCATTTGTAGGCTTTCGTGCCGTCATACTATTTCCTACACCATACACCAGACCTCGTGACCAAGATTGACGCGTGTTCTTGGGGTGTTTCCATATTTTCCACTAGCTCTGTGTGGGATCCCGCGCGCGCGCTGAAACAAGCACCCGACAATGTCGAAACCCCGGGGATTTTGTCAATAAGTCCCCCCGGGGACATATAAGGCCCAACCCCCACACCCCGTCGGGACCAAGATTGACACGTAGCCCAGGGGTGTTCCGACGTTTCCACATGGAGGGCCCCGTGAGCATTGTATTGTCGAGGGGGTGGGTTACTGCGAACATAGACGGGAGAATGAAAATTTTGTCTTCATCGATATTGCTCGCGTTGTGGCCATCGGCTACGCTTCCCAGGTGAGAGGCGACGCCAACAACATCCTTGACCAAAACAACAACAGAAGCGGCCACGACCTGGTTCACAGACAGGTCTACGAGTTTGTGTTTTCTTACTTGGCGTCGAAAACGCTGACCGGCTGACTAGCGAAAAGAAGCCAGTCTTGTAGCGGGATGAAAAATACCAACACTTCTAATCGAATCGTGAGCGTTTTACCCACAGGTAGTGTGTGTCGTGCTATGTGTGTTGGGTGACGACGCTCACCAGCAGATGCATCCATTCTGGAGCTCTACGGTATCCGACTCGGCTCCCTGCGCGTTGGGGTCGTCCCGTACGAGCTTCGCGTCGACGTTTACGTCCGCCATGTCGTTAACAACCATCCCGATTCGTATGCCCTGCGATCGCATTGCATTATGCCGCCGCGTCAAAGCACATTTGTATATAATAGCCATTAACAATAATCTTGTGGGGAAAACTTTCGAAACCGCACCACCAATCGCACCAACAATAGTAGCATATCCGAGCACAGCAGTCAGTCATAGGCCAATCGCATCGACCCGAAAGATATCGTCGCCAGGGGATAAACCATGCACGTCCCCTCACCCAACGTTCCAAGGCTCTGTAAAAACTTACACAGCTCTACAAATAGCACATGGCGACATGACGTGCTATCGCATTGGCGCTGAAACCAGATACAGTACCTGCAAAAGGAGACCGGGTTATGCTATGACGACCAACATGGAGAGCACCCAAGAATATGCTACAGCAGAGGCCATTCGAAGTCTTGCTCCGTGCATGCCGCTTCTTGCCGCGCCTTCACACTAAAAGCAGCGCTAGCATACTCGGCGAAGAGTCGGGCACAGTAGTAGCACCAAAAGCCTACAAAGCACCACAGCAAGACATTTACTGAGTGCGCTCGGTTCACCAACAAGTAACCGCAAGCCGAAACAATAACATGGTTGCGAAGTGAGTACCTATCCGAAAACTGCCGCCTCCGCACCTGCCGATTCTTGAGCAAGTTCTGCAGGAGCGAGGTCTTCCCAGCACCAAGGAAGCCACTGATGAGGGTGACCGGGACGCGGTTGTCGCTGTCGCCGTCCTCCTCGTCTTGCTCCACCTGAGAAAGAGGCCCCGCAGAATTAGGTGCCGGGGGGAGTGGGGGGGGGGTCACCACACTGCGGTCCATCTGTAACACTTTCGAATCGAGTATGTACGTCGAGGACTCGCTTAGCTAGGCGTGCGAGAAGCGGGGGTGTAGAGGAGTGTTGGATAGGCGTGGCGGGGCAGCGCGCAGGGGGGGGATGGATACGGACCGCCTCCGCGAGAAATTAATTCATGAGGAAATAGAACAGGGAGAGGGGTACGCAGACCCTATCCCTACCCCTAATCCAACTACCCCGAATGCATGAATTGCTAACTTAAGGGTACTAATGGGTACACGCCCAGACGGCAAGGCCTTGTGTACGGCCCGAATTCGCATCCTTTGTTGTTGTGAAGCAAAAACTACGCTTAAACACTTCAGTGGATGCTATGGTGCGAGCACGTGGGTCATGCCGTCAGCCAGATGAATAAATCGGGGCAACAAGCTGGACCGATGGGATGACTAGACAGCTAATGGGGATCGATTGCCGTAGAAATACGCAGCGTGGGTCCTCTGTAGGATAAGTATGACGTGCCAGGCCACTTCACCCGCCCTGTTGAAAGTCAACATCTACTGCCGTGTTTTCCATCTGTGCCAAGGGACTTCGTCCACCCTACATCGGCCACCCGCCCTATCAGAGGACCCACAGCGACAAAGGCTCTGTTCAAGAGCAAAAGAGGCGAGTCTACACATGGTGCCTCCATTTGAAGCCCCACATCGGCCCCCAACCTCCCCGCATAGCCGATACAATTTACTAGAATATACAGGCTTCACTATCACCACACTACAATCCTTTTACCACGAACGCCTTGCGACCAAACTGGATTGACAGCACG